GCCTAGGTTACCTTCAATAACAAATGTGTTTGTGTGTTTATGTTAACCCGTGGATACAGAGGACTGCCTTCCTCCAAGGTTTGTTTACACAACTGTTTGCCTCAGTGGAGAAGACTGTTATGTGACCTAGTTCGTCCTCGTGTTTACAGTAACAAAACAATTCTCCTTTACCTATGCAACTAATGTAAACATAGAAGAACTGGCAACATTGCACCCTTTCTATTTTAAAGGAATTTTTATAATACTATTGTTTAGTTTTAATTATACTGATTAGGCTATGTTTGAATGTATAACCGTTGGTCTATCTTAAGCCAAGGTTTTCCCAGATTGCAACACAACCTGTAATCTACTACGCTGGTAAGCTATTTTTAGCGTGACGTCATTCTTATACCTCCGTGACTCGGGTCAATGGGTGCGATCCTGGGGCAGAACGCCCAATGTTCTTTCATCAGATAAGCGTATCTCTCAACTGTTTACCCGAACCTCCCACAATAAAAATGTCATCATCTTCCTACTGTTGCAAAATCTGTTTCCTAGAGGCAAGGAGTCACGTGATATTGCTTTGAATTCTCATTATGCGACCCTCTTTAATTCCCCTGTGGACAGACATCAAGTCAACATGTTTGCCAGGCGCATCTATCCAAACAATACTGATCGGTTTATGTCAGTGTATAAAGAAGCTGATGAAAAACCCTATGGTAATCTGACAATCGACCTGCGTCCTACTACCTTAGAATCTGTAAGACTACAACCTACTGTACTTGAAGCAGTTAACACCCCACACCCTTTAAAAGATGAGCATGCTGTCAACAAGTATCATTTGAAGTCAGTCCCTAGAACAGATCACATCTCAGAAGTAGCCGCTCCAGTGGACAGTGAATCAGAGGACGACACAAGTGATACAGCTATGCCTTCCTGTGATGAATGTGTGTTTGAAAATAGTGATGACCTCCAGCGTCATGTCAGGTCCTGGTGCCCTTATAATGGAGGGGAGCCCCTAAGGAAACGACTTAAAACTCAGACAGCTGATGAAAGTGATGTCCTACGACCTACAGTGGACTCTCAACCCCCTCACCCCCTCACCCCCTGTTTTAGTTTGCTGTTTGATTAGTACGAGTTTGGATAAATGGGAGGACGTGCTGACTTTGGGTTGGGTGATTGGGTGTGCTTGTATTGATATATTTTTAATTAGGTTTTAAAAGCATTTTTTAGTGTTTCCTTTTTATTTTAAAGACGCTAGTGTCTCGAGCTCATAGGTCATATTGGCCGGTCACTGTACATACCCTACCGAAATATCTGAGTCCCGTCCGGGATTCGAAACCACACTGCCAGTGTGAGGCACCTAATCGCCAGCACACAAAGTCAGCGATCTAACCCACTCAGCCCACTGAGTAAGTAAGCCCAAATTGTTGTTTCGAATTCTGGTTCGCCCCGATTATGTTTCTGAGTTTGTAAGCCCCATGCCATATTCACGAGACAAGGGAGTTAACTGAATATTTCCACTAGATTGTTACAGTCAGTTAACTCCCTTGCCTCAGGAAGATGGCACCATACCCGTGCTCGTGGGTTTCACCAAAATGGTAAACGTCTGAGACCTGCATCACTCCAGGCTTTCCTTCTGCATCAAGCTGGCACGCGGTAATGTAACTGGAATACAGTTCAAACAAAACGCACTCTTACCTGTCGACATTGACTGTTGGCCATGTCGTCATCCATTGGTTTGTCCGTCCTATAGTGGATAATGTACGTGATATTGATGATTGTGATGTAAAACAACATTCACTCTAATATCCGAGCAGCAACAATTTACATGTGGACAGCTAGACAATTGAAATTGTGTAAGTAAACTACGTTTATAACGAACACGCTTATAACGAAAAGACCGGATTTTTAGTCCCGGTCATTTGTTGTATAAATGCTGTATATATGCTTATAACGAACTACGGTTATAACAAACTAAATTTAGTTGTCCCTTTGAGTTCGTTATAACCGTAGTTTACTGCAATTGTATCAAGTGGTTTTTAACGACAGTTATCCCTATTTGGAACACGACAAAAGCAAATATATCAAAGTGTGTTGTCAAGCTATGAATACTTGAACAGGTTCCTGAACGAACAGGGGAACGAACAGACCAGTCTAACGAACGCGTCATTCGTTTGTTGTGGCCTTACATAGATCTTTTATGGCCTATAAATAACACGTAACATGACAATGCACAGCCAGACTGTTTCACCATGATCTCAGCAATCAGATATTGGCCATCCACAATAACCTTCCTTCCTGTCATCGTTACGAATAAATTATACAAGATGGCCATTGGAGTTTTAAAATTTAAATCATCCACTGTAATATGACAATCTAATCTTTTCTTAATGTCTATTGTTTGCTTGAGTTACATTAACAGTAGCAGTGGTAACAGTTAGACTTACATTTAGTCTGTGAAATCTTATATTACACAAAATCACCTTCTCGACTCTAAAAATAAAAAAATAAAATATCCCTATGCTGAATTCATATGTGGAATAGAGCTAGGTAGAGCTGACCAGACTTGCTTTTGTAAATGTTTCTTAATTGTTGTTTTTTCATAAAATAAATATATTCCACAGTCATGGTGCAGGATTCGCGTACTTCTATTTGTGAGACACTGAGGAATTAAACACATCAATTGCCGGACAAAACACTGCAAAGTTAAGGTTCGAAACGCAACTTTAATTCATTTCAAATAAACTGAACAACTAAGGAAACTATGACTCTCGGTTGATTTTATCATGTTTGCTGTTCAATTGAAACATAATCATAGACAGCAAACAATACTTTAAACAAACTTAAAACGGTATTCTTTCTTTTGACTCTCACTTTACATCACCATCGAATAACCATTTCTTGTTTGTGTCATTTTAGTCAACATCACACATGGGTGTGTACTTTCTTTTGCCCAGCAGTATACATGTAGCAAACTGCATTTGGTTATTTCAAATCCACAAGTCTTCTCCCAGAAACGCTGGCGTGGTAGCCTCGTGGTTATTGCATCCACGCGCCACGAAGGCCCGATATATTCTATTCCGTGATGGGTAAAATGTGTGGAGCCAATTTTCGTGTCCCCGCCGAGATATTGCAGGAATATTGGTAAAGTCTTGAACCACTTTCCGTTACTATCCCAGGAAGTTTGCGAATGTATATATACATACTATACAATAATACTTTTGTTCATAAATAACCCGTTTTTAGTCCACTAAAAGGAAGGCCAAAGAAAGAATTTTAGCATTATTATTGCATATTCCTTAAGTCTTATACTACTACATTTAGGTTGGGTGAACAATGCCAATTATCTTTAATTATACGCTTATTAAACTTAATTTAGGCTAAATAGAATGTCGCCGTGTTCTTAGTTATCATTCTGGGTTTTTTTCTACGTGGCTTAAGACATCTGTGTTAAATTGTATAGAAATGGACCGAATAAGCTTCTAATTATTGAAAGTACTTATTGGGTGTAATTACCTGATGTGGCCTTTTCACCTTGCGTACCTATATTTCTTTTCTTTTTTTTCTTTGCAGAATAATTGTATTTCACAAAAGCAAATTAGAAGTAATCTGAAACAGGTTTTATGCAGGATTAGTTTAAAATGTCTGCTCAAAGGTCTAACAGACATCAAGAAAGGTATCTGGAGACCTGGATGACACGGTATTTCAGTAGATCTGTGTTATTGCAGTTCCCTGTGTATTTTGGGTGTGCTGATACGTATGTGTCCCCCCCCCCCCCCCCTCTCTTAATACCAACTTGCTTTTTTAAAACACAAATGTACATGTACTAATGTCTATAAAGAAGACGTGTAAGTTAGCGACCATTTACAACTATGGGTAAGTGCTGTGGTGTTATAAAAAAATGTTTAAAATAACACTAAATCATTAATCTATCTAAAAAGGAATATTTTGTTACTGTCTTCTTATGTCGAAAATGAGAGATTGTCATTATATTGCTCAGATTCAGAGTTACGCGTGCTCTTAAATATCGACTGAATTAGACTTGTTTTTTAACTATAAACTGTATATTAGAAGAATTTAAAAACAGGATATTTGAGAAATGTATTTTTAGATATAGAATAGAACCTTTTCTATATAGGACTCACTTACAGATACCATTAAATATATATGAAATTGTGAAGTCTAAAATTTTTTTGCTATATCAATTAAACATATCTATTTTGTTGCAATTGTTTAACCTGCTATGTAGCAGGGCGCGGAGTCATCCCACAGATGACATCCTTACCGTGTCAGCTTGCTGACGGGGTTAACCTCTTTGGTCAAGTGGACAAGGCGTCCGACCTCGGACCAGAAGGTCCGTGGTTCGAATCCCATCAGAGGACTCGGAAATTTTATGGCCGCGACAATTACATGTCAATAATTCGAAATTTGATATCAGTCAGTGAAAGACTCATATAATAAATCGCAGCTTACATAGTAATTCAGCCTTTAACCTCTCTCTGCTATTTCAAGGAAGATCTGCGCATTGGCAGTGTATTAACAAATCTTTCACTCACTGTGCAGCCAACCTACTAGCACATGTAGATCTACATAAAGTGCGGCGTTAAACAACAAACAAACAAAACATAGATCTACATTATCTGTCATGTGCATTCCACTGTAGCCTGACGGAAACTGACGGGAATACCCGAGTACTAATAGTGTTGACATATTTCTAATGAATGAACAACGCTTTCTAAGAAGTCTAAAAACACACGCACACATTACGCAATCAAAATATTTACCTTTTTGATGTGCTAGTTGTCTTCAACTTATCTCTAACATACTATATATACGTTGTTATCGTCTGCTTAAAGGAAAAACATATAAATACATACTTCTACAAATTATAAAAAGGGAACTAGGAAAATCAGTAAAATTATCAAGTAACAATATGCACGCTCACTAAGATATTACTAGAAGCTGAATTAGAAGGTATGAAATACGCAGCGAAGCAAATAGCAGCAGCAGGTGCCTTTCTTACGCGATACCAGGAAGTGCATTCAGCTTGAAATATTCTGTTATGGATATAATGCAAAATGGCAGTTCAAAATTAGGCTCGATCAAAGTAAGGTAGTATAAGCCACGTATATTCCCTCCGCATGTGCTGACATGGCGAAAACTTGGACACTCCTGTCGATACTGTCAGCAATGGATGAGGAGTGGTCCCCACTTGCGCTTTCATTCAAATGACGAACAACACAATTCCAGCCAGCTGATAGCCTTGCATTGTGTGTCCATTGAATATATGCGTTTCCTGGTATTTCCCGTGTTTCTGTATTTCTATTATTGCCTCCGATTGCACTAGACATTTATTTGTTGACGAAGCAAAATGACGTTATATGTATGTGGTGCGTATGTGAGATAATTATAGCGACGATGTCATTTGCATTGTATATATAAGCTAAGTCGTCTGAACTGAGGCCACTTAAACAGTTTGAATGAGAGAGTTCGGTTATTCGTTGGATACCTATGTGTTGTAAGCATCAAGTACTAGCTGCATGAAAAGCCTAGATTAACCCACCACGCAATGGGTAAGTAAGACAGGAACGATTTATGTGTGTTAATTCCCTGAACCTGATTGCATTCATATATAATAGCAAGTGTTGTGTATAATAATATTATTCATCACGATCATATTTGTTTCCGACTGTAGTTTGTCTATTGTTTCGATTCTAATTGTCATCTAACTGGGAGAACTGTGGTCCATTCCTTTCATGAACATGATTGTCTATGTCATGGCTGTTACAGTCAATGTGTCAAGTCTTTGAAAGGCATTTAGAAGTGATACACATAAGGAAGAGAATTTATGGACGTCAACTTCTTTATTATGAGGAACACCATAATAAAGAAGATGACATCCATAAATTCTCTTCCTAATGTGTAAAGTTGGATTCACTTAGTCAATTTACAAAATACCTAAATATTTCTCTCATTTTTTAAATCGTCAGAGAAATCTGTCCATTTATTCGACAGTTTGACAGGAAAGTATTGAGAAGGCCAAACAGACTATAACACATAACTATAGACTTATAATGCTAAGATTAGAAAGCAAAAAATGAAGAAAAATATACACTGACTTTCGTTTTCTTTAAATCCTATCATTTTCAGTCACTGTGTGCTCAAATTAATCGTCAAAACACAGTCATTTGGAATACAATAAATGGTCATTTTTCATTCAAATTTGTAAAATGACTGAAATATTTAGGCATTTTGTAAACTGCCTAAGTGAAAACTGTAAGAATATATACGTGATGTAATTAAGGCTGGAAAGCGCTGCTATGACTGCCTTTGTGGTTTATGTGTGTTTGGGATAGCAGTTACGCATACTTCAGTATATTCTATCAGCCAGACTGACATGCACAATGCAACTCTGTCATGGCCTGGACCTGTTCTTGTGTTAATTACACAAACAGTAATTAGCTGTGATAAGCCTAATAAACGAATCAAGATACTATTTTCTTGCTCTTTATATTAACCTGATATTACCCTCGCAAGGAATATTATTTCACCAAATAGTGAAGTTAGTGAAACACCAGAAGTTAGATGCCTGCAGTGAGTTTGGGTAATCAAGGCCCAACCCTCTCTGGAACTGGTGCCTCACTAGACATTCTCCAACACCAGGTTAATTGCTACCCTCTCCCATATTCCTTTAAGCACAAAGGAGGTCCACCAGAGGTTCTCCTTTTTGATAATCAAGGTATTTAAGGCACTTTTGGCTATAAAACATTATCCAGCATATACATCATGTGGATAGAGTGTGTCTAATTGACTTCCCACATTTTTGAGAACACCTGGCATCAGATAGTGATTTATAGACACATACTTATGATATTGTCCCCTTCATGTAACAGTATAATGGACTCTGCTGTAAGCATGTTAAGTAGAAATTTCTTGTGATTTTGGAAATGTTTTTTCCCTTTATGTGTACATGTTAATTGGTAAATGAACATTATATGTACATTCTAATTTAATGTTTCCCTTAATTACTTTGTATTTTTCTGCAGTTTAGTTATTTAATAGACTATCTCTGCGGTCTACTGAATAGAGTGTCTACTCAAAGAGCAGGAGGCCGTTGTTAGATCCCTGGCTGCATTATCCCAAATGACATTAAACGATGGTATTTGTTGTTACCCTGCCTGCTGTTCAGCATTAAGGGTATAAAACAAGGACTGGTCGGCTCGGAGTCCTATAATGAGTGTCTGAGTGGGGTATCCATGTTAAACTGCGGCATGGTATCTTAGTGGGCTAGCCATATTAATAAATACAGTATAAAATCTGCATTATTCCAAGCTTAACAGCATCCACACACGCGTCACTATGTAAGTGCAGTAATCTTGAACACAATGTTAAACCCCATTTTAACTCATCAGACCATGCTTTCCTAGTTATTTGCTGTCAATATTTGCTTAGTTCTAATTGTTTTATTTAATTTGTTTTATTAGATCCTCTACTTTTACTTGAGCAGCTGCACTCCTTTTTTGCCACACCAGAAGGGAGCATCATGGGGCAGGTAGGTCCTTCTCTTGTCCTTCAAAAATACATCAATAAAAAAAGGGGTTGTTGACGGTTTATGGCGTTATGCCACTGGCAGTTATATTGCAGTTATACGATCCCCAGCTATAGTATAACCAAGTTGGTATACTTGTCATAAGGTGAGACTGAATGTGGATTGGTTGGTCATAGTGATAGTAACAGTCTGTAGACCATCTTCTGGACATGATGGCATCGTGAAGTGCTCAGTGGTGTCAGGTGCCACCTATTTCTGTGAAGTGTTTCATCCCCTTAGCCATGCTAGTGTTTGCTAGTCATTGGTTCATATCTCAAATCTGACGCCGTTTTGATCTATCGGTATCGACAACTATACCTGTGGTGCTGGTGAACATCACTTTGGGCTTTCCTCCCACATTAAACTGCCATCAAATACTATATAAGTGAAATACTGTTTGAAGCAGCGTTAATCACGACACACTCACTCACTTCTGGATGACTTAGTGTGTCGGGGGTAGTTGGGGTAGCCTAGTGGTTAAAGCGTTCGCTTGTCACACCGAAGACCCGGGTTTGATTCCCAATATGGGTACTATGTGTGGAGCCAATTTCTGGTGTTCCCGGCCATGATATTGCTGGAATATTGCTAAAAGTGGTGTAAAACCATACTCTCTGACAAGACACAAGCTCTTGCTTTCAACCACAAGATTGTCAGCTAAGGGTTCACTTACATTTTGCAAGGATTGTGCTTTGCTGCTGTTGACATGGTAAAGATCAAAACACATCTGTCATATATAGAACATACTAAGTGGAACTCTATCACTGTGACACAGCTGAGTTACAATGATCCTCCCTGTCATTTGTCTGGGGATAGGGTAGCCTGGTGGTACAAGTGTCTGCTCATCCAGCTAAAGACCCAGGTTTGATTCTCCACATGTGAACCATTTGTGAATCCCACTGTTGTGACCCCTGCCCAATATTACTGAAATATTGTTAACAGTTGTCATTCACACACTTGTTATTCTCGGCTATGATGCTGCTGCTATAGTGTTAAGGCATCTACTAACTGGACTCCTCTATTGGCCAGGCTATCCAGCACATGATGTCGGAGACCAAGGACATGAACGCCCTCCTGCAGGAGGGGATAGAGAAGGTCATAAACTCAGAGCTCACCCCGGGAGAATGCAATACACTGGTGACCTCCATGAGACTCTGTCTGAGTCCAACAGGAACTCCACCATCCCCGGAACTCCAGACTCAGGCCATCAGACTCACCTGCAACTTCACCGACTTTGCCTTGACACAGGTATGTTACCGTGGTCACAGACTTGAAAACATGACATGCCTTTTGTTATGAGTAAAAACTAAAGTTTTTGTTAATGGGTGGGAAACAATCTCAGAGTTGTTAGTATTATATTTTCAAAATAAGTGACTATATACTTCTCAGCTTTGATTAGGATACTTATGTACTGACCCATGAAGTTCTGGGGTAGATGGATCTGCTTGCCATAAAAGGCGACTATGCTTGTTATTAGAGGCGACTAACAGGATCAGGTGGTCAGGCTCCCTGACTTGGTTGAAGCATGTCATCGATCCCAATTGCGTGGATCGATGCTCATGATATTAATCACTGGATTGTCTGGTCCGGCTCAATTATTTACAGACCGCCGTCATATAGCTGGAATATTGCTGAGTGCGGCGTTAAACAACAATCCAAACCAAAACTTATGAAATATTCATATGTACATAACTTTGTGGCAAGTGTTGAGTGGTTTGTTTATCATATTTATGGTATTAGTGATAACTAATGTATTTGTGTTTTTTCAGGGGTGTGACATGTTTCAAGCCTTCCAATATTTCTATAGAAGTAAGTAACATTGTATAATACTGTAGCCACAGATTTCTAAATCTTGCTTTATGTATTAGTTGTCAAATTAACCTTGCTATAACTTTAATTATAAAACTATGAAAGTAAATGGTTCCTTTCACCTTTTAGCCCATGGGCTTAAAAATGAGGTTTCTTTAATTTTTGTGTACATTGACTCAACTATTTGGTCTGGAAGGTGATAAAACCCGATTTTAGTCACTTGGCTTAGATACATGTATTCCTGGTAAGTATTTACCACATGTACATGTAAGTAAATGGTGATTATTTGTTGTATACAGCATCATTTCTTGGCTTGAAAACATTCTAGTGTCAAGTTCATTGACAGGACAGATGCGTCCATTTAATTCAGGCACTCTAAGATACTACTGCATTAACCCTGTGTGCCTTGTGTTACAGCCATGATTCTACTGGACATCACTGCTAGCCTTGAAGGCACAGAGCCTGGCCGAGAACTGGTTCTAAACATGGCCTGTGCCTATTCTGCAGCCTCGCTATGGAGGACTCTGTTCATTGACACCCAGATATGGAACATAAATCAATCGGTAATATACAATACTTCACCTTACATTTTCATCACATTCTTAAACAACATTAATTTATTATCGATTTTAGGTTGAATAATTATCATGTTATAAATATGATAAATATTGTTAGGGGGTAGTAGTGAGTGCTGCTTTTCACGATCTAGTGTTGAGTCCCTAGGTGATCCATACTCCTTTGATTGTTGGTCCCAGGTAACCCTGATTGTGATTCTCGTATTGTCAGCACCATACTGGATGGGTTTCACCAGAGGTGTAACATCTGATATTTTTCTGAATATGGTCACGATGATCAGGGTCAATGCGTCAATGTGTGAAGTCTATTCATAGTGTTTCCCATCATGCATCAGGAATATTGCTATAAGTGGTGTCATCACCATCACAATCATCATCACCACTACCACTATCATCATCATCATCATCATCACCACCACCACAACTACCATCATCATCATCATCATAACCACCATCATTATTATTATTATTATTATTACTGAACAGAGCACACAAGGGCTGCTGCAGGACTTGAGGGATTTAGCTTTCGAGTACATGAAGGAGAATCCAGCATTCTCCTACTTTCTGTGCCTCGACCTTCTCCGAGCATACACGGTCATTGGAAGAGGGTTCTCCCAAAAACAAAAGACAAGGATAAGAGGCGATCTTATTCTCCTGCTGGCCAAGTGCTGCTACCAAGCGGTAAGTCACGGATTTTTGTAAGTTGTTGTTACATCATTTAAAAAAAAATTCCTGAGACTTATATTTACATCCTAATATCCATAATTGTAGTCCCTCTGATGCAGCTTTTTGAGATGAAATAATCTGATTTAGGGATAAATCATTTAGTATTGCTTGCAGGGATGTTAAGTGATGGTGCAGATGTCATACAAGTAGCTAATTTCAGGATAGGTGCAAAACTTTGAAAGCGTTTATTCTTTGATACTGATAAGACCGCCTCCTTGGTCTAGTGGTTGAGCATCCGCATAGAGAGCAGAAGGTCTGGGGTTCGATATCCGGCTGCGTCATACCAAAAGACATTAAAAGATGGTACTTGTTGTTACCCTGTCTGGTGCCCGGCATTAAGGGGCCGAAACAAGGACTGGTTGGCTTGAAGTTAGTATACTGTATCTGAGTGGGGTATTCATGTTATGCTGCGGCATGGTATCTCAGTGAGCAAGCACTATAAATCTGCATCAGTCCGGACTTATACAAGCAACCACACACGCACGACGCACGCACGCACATGCACGCACGCACACACAAACATGCACATCGCTATATAAGTGCAATAATCTTGGACGCGACGTTGAACCCAATTTCACCTCACCTTTATACTGATTACATTAATAAAATCATGTAATGTTTACTAAAGAATGGAAAAATTATTTTTCCCCATGTATTCATGTTTGTTTATTATAAGAGAAATATATGATGAATAACTTGTCATGTGGTTTGCCTGTTGTAGGGGCAGTACAGACTTTGCACCAGACACTGTAAAGAGGGTAAGTTCCTTTCAAATAAACCTGATTTCTCAAATTGTAATTGTTAGGAATCCGACTGTTTGAAAATATTAAATTGTAAAGACATTCCGTACATTTGAGTATCTTTACCTCAAACAAGGATGTTAACATGTCGTCTGAGAGTATAGTGTGTGTATGCCAAATGATTTTAATCAGGATATGAATCTACTACAGAAACAAGCAAATTAAAGTTTGCCAGAAATCAGTCATTTGATAATACAAATACACATTTTCTGGACAGCTATTTATTAGGTTCCTTTGTAACTGATCAAGGGAGATAACTTGTCTTTATATGTTTTGACATTCCAGTAGGCCAAATTGTTTTGGAAGAAATACGGTTGACAATGGTTAAAAACATTTAGATTTTACATTAGACATGAAATAATTTGTTTGTGATGCTGTTTTGGAGGAAAAGACAGAGACAAGGAAATATGTATGGCAAGTTAAATAAGATAGTATATGTAGTATTAGTTGTCTCTGCTTTTTCATGTTTTGAGTGTGAAAAATGTCTCCATAAAGAGAAAGGATATTGACTAATAAGAGACCAAGTTTAAGGATACTATTCTATATATGTGTACTAGGCAGCTTGCTTCTGAGACCTCCCAGTCTCTATTTATAGGGAGAGGGGAAACATAAGTGTTGGTGGAACTAGCATCAGAGCCAACATTGTGTGACATACCGATGCAGTGGTATGCTGGTTGTATCGGTGTATGTCATGTCACAGTGTGGGAGGGGGATATAGGTTTGGGCTCTGTCCATCCTGTCTCTGTCCTCTGCTACCAGCCTGCGAGCTGTGTCACATCCCTATGTAATCTAATGCAGGTTATATCATGTTTATTCCACCTGTGTCCTCTGTTTCCAGCCTGCCAGCTGTGTCACATCCCTTTGTAATGTAATGCAGGTTATATCATGTTTATTCCACCTGTGTCCTCTGCTACCAGCCTGCGAGCTGTGTCACATCCCTATGTAATGTAATGCAGGTTATATCATGTTTATTCCACCTGTGTCCTCTGCTACCAGCCTGCGAGCTGTGTCACATCCCTTTGTAATGTAATGCAGGTTATATCATGTTTATTCCACCTGTGTCCTCTGCTACCAGCCTGCGAGCTGTGTCACATCCCCATGTAATGTAATGCAGGCTATATCATGTTTATTCCACCTGTGTCCTCTGCTACCAGCCTGCGAGCTGTGTCACATCCCTATGTAATGTAATGCAGGTTATATCATGTTTATTCCACCTGTGTCCTCTGTTTCCAGCCTGCGAGCTCTTTGACTGCGGCAGCTACATTCCCTACGAGCTCTGGGCACGAGCTCTTCACAAGAACGGACAATACAGAGCGGCACTCGACAAAGTGGAATGTGCTAAGGACTGTATTCAGGTATGGTTACATCATAAGCTAGGTATAAAAAAATAATAGTCTTGGTTCTCAGGGACAGCCAGCATCATCATAAAAAAGGATAAAAAATTCTCAACTATGTCTTGAACACATGACCCCGGCAGTGAAATGCGACAATACTTAAAAACAATGTGATCCAATCTGGCGTGCAGTTACTTCTCTTTTCAAGCTGTTTATTTGGTTACGTACTAGTTTGAACAACAACAATAACAACAACAAAAGACAACAAAAAGCTACACCTGCCCACACACTATATTTTCAAAAGCCTTGCCTGAGAGCCAATTTTTTATTTTTTTAAGCCTTACTCAGATATGTTCAAAATTTAAAAGAGATATTCGGTGTAAAGGTGAAAGTGACTTATTGCTTGGCGATGTTGTCATAAGAATATATAGGAAATTGAAAATTGACATATTGGAGGGAAACCAATTAGTACGGGTATACGTATGGAGATGACAAACTTAGAAACATTATCTGGGAATGGCACCCGCGATCATAGGTTTCTGGCACACCAAAGGGACACAACTCTGCACAGCGAATAGAAGGGCCTTTGACAACTTTACCAACCATGTGTCTCAGTAAGGTTTAAAATAATGTTTATTAAGATTAATTTAGATTTTCTGGATGTTCTCTGATATATGGAGGTTTTACCCATGTTCAGTCTTCCTTATAAAACTAATGCAAGTCGACATTTATTCAGGAGGAGAAAATAAAGCAGCATCTTCAGAAGTACATGGACCAGCTGCGCCAGGAGATGTTGACCTCTACACAGCAGCCGACGATGGAGCCAGATGCTGATTGGTTGACGGGGACCAACATCAGCACCACACAGGTAATTGATATTAAACGTCACATTTAACATAATTATCTGATTGTAGTCATGTCTGTTTCAGGGATGTGGAATCTCCACGCGGAAAATTGCTTTTTTGAAAAACAGTAGTCCTCGGAAAAAAATTATCTTCCTCGTAAAAATATAATCAAAGATTTAAAAAAAAACACTCCGAAAAAATATGATCGAAAAACGGACCACCGCACAGAATATATGTGATCGAAAACCGGATAACCGCACAGAATATCCTGTTTTCGATCAGAGCTTTCAGCAGCATAGGTTTTCGGACATCATACGTTTTCTATCACGACTACTTGGACTACAGACCCCCCTAGCCTTTTCCTCTTTGTGGGGGAAAACCTGCTCACATCCCTGCTGTTTACAAACATGTTTACATGTTAATGAATGTGCTGCACATTCCAGCTTTTTGACGGCAGTCTGTAAATACTCAATCAAGTGATGCGATGATAAACACATGATTTAATATGGAATCTAAAAATGGGTCCTCACCTGGATGATGCTCAAGTATTGACCACATCTTCTTAGATATACCTGAAGATGAGTTCGAATGGGCAAATATGATTAGTAATTCTGTTTTTGTTTGGCAATAATGAATGTAGTGTACTGGATATATACCATTCAACTATTGATAAGGATATTGCTTGATACATTAAACTGATTGCTTATATATATTTGTCAATGTTCATGTTGTCCCAACTTTTAAATGCCTATCAAAGACTATATTTGTCAATGGTATGAAGGATCTCAATATCCCTATTAAACGTTGAGTAGCATTGCTACAATAGTATGACCAGCTGAGCCATGAACTGATGAACTGGTGTCAGTCCACATGATGTCCCTCCTCTGTCAGTCAATACTCAGCAGCCATACTCGTGTTTCACACTATTGACGGTAATCCTTGTGGTCGTGTGGAAACTGCCTTTCAGTATTTCATGTTATAGAAACAGTAACTTAAGCTGGTTAAGCTGGAGAAAATATGGTATACCTGCTCACCTATGACGTGTCTGCATGTGTCTGCACCCCCTGTGGATCTGCGTAGTCATTATTGTTGTCACATGACCAGAACCTACTTGTGTTACAGTTGCAGCAAGCACGGGCACAACAGGCAAAGAATGCTCACGTCAAGAAGAAAAGGCAATCCAGACGTAAGTTTAAAACTGTTTTGTGATTTAACCATGTACTAAAACTTTAGAGTCATACTGTTATCTTTGTATCTTCTATGTATTTTATGACCTGTCAAGGAAGACATATCGGCCATATAATCTGTCAATAAGATACTGGCACAATGAAGATAGATTTATATCTATACAACAAACAAAAAGTTAAGGACCACCCAATTCTTTCGTATAACTATAGTTAATCTGCGATGTCATTACAGGTTAGTTATAGTTATATGAATGAGTCAGGTGTTCCTTAACTCTTTATAAGTAGTATAGTTATGGACTCTCTGTGGACCCATGTGGGATTCTGTTGAATAATATATGTATTGCCCATGCTTATTGTAAGATGTTTCTGGAATGGGGCTTGGGAGTCACTGGTTTGCTTGTTCTAGACGAGGGCCCACTTACACAAAGTCGTGGCAACAGGACAATCACAACATATGTAGAAGTGTATGGATTTTGAGACATAAGAGCCAACTATAATGAGGATTAAGTGCTGACAATGTAATTCCTGTCTGTTAGTGTGTCATCTAACCCAGCTCAGTGGATTGTTGCTCATGTTATCAACCCCTGGTTTGCCTTCCCAGGATTGATTATTTGCATGCTATCAGAAGACTATGCTAGGACTAAAACTGATGATGCTGGAAGATTTGTTTTCTATGTAGGACTGTAATAAGCTGCTTGATATAGCTTTAGTATTGCAGACTAGAACAAGATTCACCCCTAGTTCACAAATAACTCTACACTTCTTGTTTTAACAGCAAGACGAGAACATGTGGAACCCATCCAGGTTAGTCACACTGACTGGCTCAAAGGTGGACCAATGCAGAAGGGTGAACCAGGATACCGAACGTCTAATGGCTTGTCACTTCCTTTTGCTGGACAAGCAGGCAAGGACCCCTCACAGCTCAATGTTGACAGCAACCCTCTTCTTCAGTACACAGCCTGGGACACATCGAGTGGGGATGATGGATCAGATCTCGAGGATGCTTTCGAGCTTCGAGGATCACCCTCTTCTCAACATGAAGAGAAAGAGCCAGAGGTGACCAAAGTCAAGGCTGAAAAGTCGGACAAGACATGGTTTGAAGAAAGTAAGGAAATGTATGACAATGGTGATGTGGACACAAAGATTACTTGTGGCATGGGGATGGATGTGGAGACTGAGAGCATCGAGGCCAAGCAGTATCAACAGACCAGGGCTCCTTTCTATAGGCCCCTTGAACCCAACTTTGAGTTGAGACGACTCATGGCAGCCATGCCTGAGAAGTACAAGCAGTGTAAGATTCAGTTTGAGGCATCTCACAAGGCTGTGTGTAAAGTGTTGTCAGGAGGGGAAACCTACACTGATATTGAGATTCACGGGAGGTCCAAGTGTGGCCAGACGTTCAACAATGATGAGGTTTGTGTGGAGGTTCTGTCAGAGCCTCACTCCCATCCTGTGTCTGGTCATGTGATATACAAGAGGGCTGAGGAAGATGACAAGGTGTATGGACGTGTTGTTGGTGCCCTCAACAGCAACTTCAGGGAAGAGAGCCATACAGTCATGGCCTGTACGTGTGATGATGATGAAGGGTTTCTGATGCATCCTCTTTGCAAAACTGTGCCAAAGATTCATGCCTTGAATGGTGTTACAAAGAAGAAATTCCCTTCCTTGTCTAAATACAGGATTGATACATATGAAATCAATGAGAATGGACAACTCCGATACAAGAAATATTTTGATGTGAAACCAGGACTTAGAGGAAGGTATGTGTTCCTGGTCGTCTATCTCACCTGGGGCATCCACCATGTGTACCCTCTTGGAGCAGTGGTAGACATCATTGAGTGTGGCACCGACTTCAATGGAGGTCTCAAGATCCTGGAAATGCAATATCAGGTTCCAACCTACTTTTCACAAGACACAGTTGCTCATATTGGTAAAATTCTGAAGAAGAGAGACACTGTTCTTGCTGATGACAGAGTTGACTGCACAGGGCTTGAAGTTTTCACAATAGATCCTGCACATTCAAAAGATTTAGATGATGCTTTGAGTATCTCTGCCAAGGATGACTACTATCTGATTGGAGTCCACATTGCTGACGTGGCCTCAGTGGTGAAGAAAGGGGACCCTGTTGACAGAGAGGCACAGAAGAGAGCCACAAGCTTCTATCCATGCGAGTCCAGGGCTCACAACATGTTGCCTGAACCATTGAGTGAGGGCATGTGTAGTCTGCTACCAAATGAAAAAAGACATGCATTGTCCATTTTCTTTCACATTGAAAAATCAGGAAAGCTTGTAAAGGAACCAACAGTCATGAAAACAAAGATTAAATCTTCCTGCAAGTTGTCATATGAAGATGCTCAGAAAGTTATTGAAAATGAGGAAGTGGATCATGTTTCACAAACTCTGAAAGACAATATCAAACTGCTTCATGAAATTGCCCAGAACTTGAGAAAGGACAGACTTAAAGATTCTAGGTTTGCTGTTCCATTTGAAGATCCAAGATTTATTGAGACTGAAATCATAGAGCAGAATATTGAAGCCCATTCACTCATTGAAGAGTTCATGATCAAAGCCAACACATCCATTGCTCAGTGGTTGAGAAAGAAGTTCCCAAATTCCATCCCCATCAGATGTCAGTCTCCACCATCTACAGAGGATGTCCAAAAGTTTGTCCAGAGTGAGGATAAGTTCCTGGACCTTGTTGTGAACATGCAAGGACGAGAAGTCTTACCTGGCAGGGCGGTGGCATCAGGGAACTGGGTAGCCAAGGGCAACACAGTGAGAAAAGAGCTTTTGCCAGTCCAGAAGAACATCTGGCTTCAGATTCTTGATGGAGTTCATGATGAAACCCTGACTAAAGCTGTAAGGAATATGTGCAAAGATGAGGTCCACCCTTTCCAAGCAATTGCTCTTCAACACTGGCGACAAATCATGGAATCTGCAGAATACAAATGTTCAATGCTCTCTGAAAAAGAGCTGAATCACTTCTCCCTGAATACAAAGATGTATACACATTTCACATCCCCTATCCGGAGATATGTGGACCTCATTGTACAAAGACTGGTGCATGCAGCTCTTGATGGGAAATCCTGTCCCTACTCATCATCAGAAATAGCTGACATTTGTGCCTATATCAATGATGCCACTTCCAGACAGAAACACTTCAGCAATGGGTGCCAGGCTTTGAAGAGAGCTGCAAAGATTTCGCAGAGGCCAATGGTATTTAATGCTGTGGTGGACAAGGTCTCGGACAGTGGAGCAGAGCTCTGTATCCCCTCTTTGAAGCATGTGTCCAGCAGAAGCAAGGAATTACCCTTCAACTTGATGGACTTCAGTAAGAAACCAGAGGAGAAACAAGATCCTTGGTCAACAAAGACAATCGTTACAGGAAAATGGAAGAAAAGGCTGTATGACTGTACTGGATGTCCAAGCCAGCTGATGTATTCAAAGATGCTGGAAAAGCAGCAAGGATTCAAACAGAAGCAACGGCCAAAACAAGTCGTGTCTATTGTGAATCCTAATCAGCATGTGTACTTTGTGGACACACAGACCTGGGCAAAGATGTTGAATGCATTGTTCAGCCAGGACCACAAAGCATTGAAGAAAATGGTCAACAGTCAACCCAGAGAAGGACAAGATTTGCCCACTGGAGCACCAGTGAGGGACATGGTCACCTCAGAGCATGGAGATGGTTCCATCAAGTTCCACCACTGCAAGTTTACTCTCTGCTTTACACCCGGACGTGTCATCAAAGTTCAGATGGTTGCTAATCCAGAGAAGGGTTTACTCACTCCACAAGTGAGATTGTTTCAGGTTTGCAAGAACCTCAGTCTGTGTCTCAGTCACATGGAAGATCCAGTTGGTGTGTTGAGTAAGTATGCTACAGAATCGACCAAAAAGAACATTGAGTCAATATCTGAGTATCAGAGAACATGGCTGCCTCTTCTGGAAATGGAATCTGCGACATCGGCAGTTCGTAGTGAAGAGAACATCATCATCAACAATGTCAACATCGAATTCAAACGCAACCAAGGTAAAACAAAAACCTTCTACAAAGGGACATTCACTTTTCCATCTAGTTTTGTGCATGAAAGGTGCATTGAGTTTGGAGGCAAACCTTTGGAGAAGTTGAAAGAAGAGGGAGACGACGATGATGATGAAAGGGACAACTTTGGACGAAGGGAGTTCTCCTCAATTGACTATCTCTGCATACGAATCAAGATTGACCAAAATAGACCTGAGTCACGGGAAACCTATGATGAGGAGATCTCAAACAAGGTCATTGAAGTCCCTTGCCCACTGACAAAAGAAGGAAGGCAAACGAAATCCTCAAAGAGGAGTAAGTCATCAGAAAGGAGGAGGTCTAGGAGGAAAGCAGAGGCTGTTGAGTGTGCCTTGAAGAAGAGGAAGGTGTCTGAAGGATGTGGAGCTGATGTCTGTTCACAGGCAGACACCTACACGTGGGTCGGTCATGCTCAGATCATGAAAGTGAGGAGAAAGAAAGACAAGGACATGGAATCAGATTATGTGACGGTCACATTCAGCTTAAATGCCAACAGTGGTCCTGTGCCAGACGAACTCTTTCCCAAGAGTACAGGCACTGTAGAGGTCATCTTCAAGTCAGAAGTTGACAGGTAAGAATATGATTGTGTTGTTCTGATTTGTAACAGTAACTAGTTTTCACAATAAATTATTTCAGTATCTGACTTTTTCAGGAGTGTCCTTTGGGTGTATGAGTGAGTGATTATTGCTTTACTCTGCCTCAGCAATCTTCTCAGTTCACAGCATGTTAAGGTATATATGACCAAGTGACACCAAGTGACATGCACACAGCATATTAAGGTATATGACCAAGTGACTGTAATGGTCAGTAATAATGTTAACTCTGTTTCAGACGTACAATGAGAATGATACAAAGCTTGAGTGGAGACAAGTTAGATTTAGCAAGCTGTGTTGCATTGCACAGGAGGCCTCCTAAACTGGGTGAGTAAATATTAAACATAAATATTTTCTTTTAAAAAACAGAAGAAAACTATTACAATTGGTATATCACAGATATAACTGTCCTTGATGGTAACCAGTAACCCATTAGCTATCAGGCTCCAGCTGCTTTTGCAACCAATCGTAATGCATATGTAACTCTTATCACTACAGACAAGGACAGACTGGACTATGGCAAGAAGATGGAGAAAGAGGTCCCAGTCCAGGGTCTGCCTCTCAATAACACCAAGCAGCACGAGGCCATAGACCGGGCCCTCAGTTCCAGCTTCACCCTCATCCAGGGGCCACCAGGTAGGCGGCTTTGTCTCACATCCTTACGCTGTCTCACTTACTTATGCTGTCTGGTCTCAATTCTTGTCTGGTCTCACTCTCTGCCTGGTCTCACTTGCTGTCTTGTCTCACTTGCTGTCTGGTCTCACTTGCTGTCTGGTCTCACTTGCTGTCATTGTCTCACTTGCTGTCATTGTCTCACTTTCTGTCTTGGCTCACTTGCTGTCTGGTCTCACGTCCTGTTATTGCCTCACTTGCTTTATGGTCTCACATCCTTACGTTGTCTCACATGCTGTTATTGTCTCACTTGCTGTCTTGTCTCACTTTCTGTCTTGGCTCACTTGCTGTCTGGTCTCACTTGCTGTCTGGTCTCACTTGCTGTCATTGTCTCACTTTCTGTCTTGGCTCACTTGCTGTCTGGTCTCACGTCCTGTTATTGCCTCACTTGCTTTATGGTCTCACATCCTTACGTTGTCTCACATGCTGTTATTGTCTCACTTGCTGTCTGGTCTCACTTGCTGTCTTGGCTCACTTGCTGTCTGGTCTCACTTTCTGTCTTGGCTCACTTGCTGTCTCACTTGCTGTCTTGTCTCAGTTGCTGTCTGTTCTCACTTGCTGTCTTGTTTCACTTGCTGTCTGGTCTCACTTGCTGTCTGGTCTCACTTGCTGTCTGTCTCACTTGCTGTCTGGTCTCACTTGCTGTCTGGTCTCACTTGCTGTCTGGTCTCACGTCCTGTTATTGTCTCACTTGCTGTCTGGTCTCACTTGCTGTCTTGTCTCACTTGCTGTCTGGTCTCACTTGCTGTCTGGTCTCGCGTCCTGTTATTGTCTCACTTGTCGTCTGGTCTCACTTGCTGTCTGGTCTCACTTGCTGTCTGGTCTCACCTGCTGTCTGGTCTCACTTGTCGTCTGGTCTCACTTTCTGTCTTGGCTCACTTGCTGTCTCACTTGCTGTCTTTTCTCACTTGCTGTCTGTTCTCATTTGCTGTCTGGACTTACTTGCTGTCTCACTTGCTGTCTTGTCTCACTTGCAGTCTGGTCTCACTTGCTGTCTGGTCTCACTTTCTGTCTTGTCTCACTTCCTGTCTTGTCTCACTTCCTGTCTTGTCTCACTTGCTGTCTCACTTGCTGTCTGGTCTCACTTGCTGTCTGGTCCCACCTGCTGTCTGGTCTCACTTGCTGTCTGGTCTCACCTGCTGTCGGGTCTAACCTGCTGTCTGGTCTCACTTGCTGTCTTGTCTCACTTGCTGTCTGGTCTCACCTGCTGTCTGGTCTCACTTGCTGTCTTGGCTCACTTGCTGTCTTGTCTCACTTGCTGTCTGGTCTCACTTGCTGTCTGGTCTCACTTGCTGTCTGGTCTCACTTTTTGTCTTGTCTCACTTCCTGTCTTGTCTCACTTGCTGTCTCACTTGCTGTCTGGTCTCACTTGCTGTCTGGTCTCACCTGCTGTCTGGTCTCACTTGCTGTCTGGTCTCACCTGCTGTCTGGTCTCACTTGCTGTCTTGTCTCACTTGCTGTCTGGTCTCACTTCCTGTTATTGTCTCACTTGCTGTCTGGTCTCACTTGCTGTCTGGTCTCACGTCCTGTTATTGTCTCTTTTGCTGTCTGGTCTCACTTGCTGTCTGGTCTCACTTGCTGTCTGGTCTCACTTGCTGTCTGGTCTCACTTTCTGTCTTGTCTCACTTCCTGTCTTGTCTCACTTGCTGTCTCACTTGCTGTATGGTCTCACTTGCTGTCTGGTCTCACCTGCTGTCGGGTCTCACCTGCTGTCTGGTCTCACTTGCTGTCTTGTCTCACTTGCTGTCTGGTCTCACCTGCTGTCTGGTCTCACTTGCTGTCTGGTCTCACTTGCTGTCTTGGCTCACTTGCTGTCTGGTCTCACTTGCTGTCTGGTCTCACTTGCTGTCTGGTCTCACTTTTTGTCTTGTCTCACTTCCTGTCTTGTCTCACTTGCTGTCTCACTTGCTGTATGGTCTCACTTGCTGTCTGGTCTCACTTGCTGTCTGGTCTCACATGCTGTTATTGTCTCACTTGCTGTCTGGTCTCACTTGCTGTCTGGTCTAACGTCCTGTTATTGTCTCACTTGCTGTCTGGTCTCACTTGCTGTCTGGTCTCACTTGCTGTCTGGTCTCACTTGCTGTCTGGTCTCACTTGCTGTCTGGTCTCACGTCCTGTTATTGTCTCTTTTGCTGTCTGGTCTCACTTGCCGTCTGGTCTCACTTGCTGTCTTGGCTCACTTGCTGTCTGGTCTCACTTTCTGTCTTGTCTCACTTCCTGTCTTGTCTCACTTGCTGTCTTGTCTCACTTGCTGTCTGGTCTCACCTGCTGTCTGGTCTCACTTGCTGTCTGGTCTCACCTGCTGTCTGGTCTCACGTCCTGTTATTGTCTCACTTGCCGTCTGGTCTCACTTGCTGTCTGGTCTCACGTCCTGTTATTGTCTCACTTGTCGTCTGGTCTCACTTGCTGTCTTGTCTCACTTGCTGTCTGGTCTCACGTCCTGTTATTGTCTCACTTGCCGTCTGGTCTCACTTGCTGTCTGGTCTCACGTCCTGTTATTGTCTCACTTGTCGTCTGGTCTCACTTGCTGTCTTGTCTCACTTGCTGTCTTGTCTCACTTGCTATCTTGTCTCACTTGCTGTCTGGTCTCACTTCCTGTTATTGTCTCACTTGCTGTCTGGACTCACTTGCTGTCTCACTTGCTGTCTTTTCTCACTTGCTGTCTGGTCTCACTTGCTGTCTGGTCTCACGTCCTGTTATTGTCTCTTTTGCTGTCTGGTCTCACTTGCCGTCTGGTCTCACTTGCTGTCTGGTCTCACTTGCTGTCTTGTCTCATTTGCTGTCTTGTCTCACTTGCTGTCTGGTCTCACTTTCTGTCTTGTCTCACTTCCTGTCTTGTCTCACTTGCTGTCTTGTCTCAGTTGCTGTCTGGTCTCACTTGCTGTCTGGTCTCACCTGCTGTCTGGTCTCACTTGCTGTCTGGTCTCACCTGCTGTCTTGTCTCACTTGCTGTCTGGTCTCACCAGCTGTCTGGTCTCACGTCCTGTTATTATCTCTTTTGCTGTCTGGTCTCACATGCTGTTATTGTCTCACTTGCCGTCTTGTCTCACTTGCTGTCTGGTCTCACTTGCTGTCTTGTCTCACTTGCTGTCTCGTCTCACGTCCTGTTATTGTCTCACTTGCCGTCTGGTCTCACATGCTGTTATTGTCTCACTTGCTGTCTGGTCTCACTTGCTGTCTTGTCTCACTTGCTGACTCGTCTCACGTCCTGTTATTGTCTCACTTGCCGTCTGGTCTCACTTGCTGTCTGGTCTCACTTGCTCTCTTGTCTCACTTGCTGTCTGGTCTCACTTCCTGTCTGGTCTCACTTCCTGACATTGCATCATTTGCTGTCATGTTTTCATTATTTGTCACTTCTGTCTTTGTCTCAATCTGTCACCGGATTCTGAGATATTTTTTTATCAGCACATTATATTAAAAAGCAGATCATACCATTGGATTTCTCCAATCATGCGTTGCTATATATCCTGCAGGTACAGGTAAGACATACACTGGGATCAAGCTGGTGTACCTCTTCAACAAGATCAACAAGTTCCTTCACCTGGAGGGTGTAGACGACCAGAAGAAACAGGTGCTTTTCTGTGGGCCGTCCAACAAAGCTGTGGATCTTGTAGCATGTAAGTCAGAATGTTAAAAATATATTTATTGTTTCTTAATGAAACTGACTCTTTAATGGAAGGTGAAATGCTGGTATTACATTTAATAAAGCATTGGGAGAAGTTTGCACTGAGTTAATGCTTTTGATGTTGGGTAATATCAGTTGTCAATGCAAGAGAATAACCAGCCTAGATTATCTGCCGAAAACAGATTCCGTTTGGCATTAAGGGCACAAAAGCTGTGAAAATTATATGAATGGACCACTGAAAATCAGGTGTATGCTTGCCAGTTTTCCATCTGAAAACAAATATCAAATTTTCATGTTTGGCTTCATGATTTTGAAACTCTTCATGACTTGATAGTAAATCTTGAACACATGTTATGATCTATAGTCGTACAATTCTACAGTTGACTCTGCTTTTAAGTAGAGATTTCTTATGACAATGGAAATGTTTGTTGTTTCTTTGTTGATATCTTGTTTAACTGTGCAAATAGTATTTTATTGAAACATTTATTCCTAGTTCTGCTGTTATGTCGACTTGGAGATGCTTGTCCCAACATCATCCGCCTCTACGGCAGCAACATCGTGGCTCAGGACTACCCTGTGCCCAAACGCAACTTCATGTCCAAGAGGAGCATGCGAGGCCTGCGATCTGACCCCAGACTCTTCGATGTGTCTCTCCACCACATGATACGACAGTCAGGCAAACCTCATGCCGAGGAAATAAGGATGTATGATGCATTGTTCAAGACCAATCCAGAAGCCGTCACTCCGGGCCACATCAAGAAGTATGGGAAGCTGGTGTACATGGCCTCATGTGAAGAACTCAAGAAGTGCGATGTGATCCTCTGTACCTGCCCAGTCGGTGGGAATAGGAAGGTGGTCCAGTCAACACGCATCTTCCAGCTCATCATCGATGAGAGTGCCATGAGTCCAGAACCACAAAGCATGATTCCTATCATTGCCACCAAGGCCAAGCAGGTTGTCCTGATAGGAGATCACAAGCAGCTGCGGCCAATTGTTCAGTGCAAGCAGGCTGCAGAATTGGGTCTGGATCAGTCGCTGTTTGAGAGGTTTGCTACTGAGGCTACATTCCTCAACACTCAGTACAGGATGGTAAGTTGTCATTTTACCTGTGTGAGTCAGAAATGGTTAAATCTACGCTGCAGTGAACAATATTCCAGTTGCATCATGGCAACAATTGAATAACTTATTTTATTGTAGCCAATACCCCACTCAGACACAGTATACTGACTACGAGACGACCAGTCCTTGTTTAGCCCCTAAATGCCGAGCGCCAGACAGGGTAACAACAAGTACCATCTTTTAACGTCTTTTGGTATGACTCGGCCGGGGATCGAACCCCGGAACTTCCGCTCTCCGGGTGGACGCTCTACCACTAGACCACGGGGGCGGTCTCATAAAAAGATGTGTGTCAACTATGTCTGGTACATGTCATGACTTGTCAGGTTGTAGAGGTTTGTGAAACTCACAACCATAAATGATGCCTGTACATCAATTTACATCGGAGATTTAAACCAATGACCAGCACATCCTGAAATAAGGCTTAAAAAAATAAAAGACTTGCTTCTTCGGCAATGGCTATTGAAATCATACTGCGGGCAGGCGGTGCTTTTGGGTTTTTTTCTTAGTTATTCAACTTTAATGTAACCAAATAGACAGTTGTGTAACCAAATACAATTAACTGGGAAAGGGCCTCCCTACATAGATGTATTCCTTAATGAGTATATTACTGGAATTCAGTATTTGACCACTGTTAGACTTGGAATATTTAAGGATTTTTTTGTTTAAAAAAAAAAAAAAATGGAAATAAAAACTAAACGTGCGGTGAATGTTTTAATGCAGGCGGTGCCTGAGAACCAAGACTATTATATTTTTGTGGCCTATTAAGAAATGGAACTTAGCAAATATAGTGCTGGACCCTTATAGTTTGACCACAGAATCATCTGGCCTACCCTTTTTGAACCTGAAACAGTCATAATTCATATATATTTAACCAAAGAATGTCATATTGTCCACATGCCCTCAAGGAGTGTTTGTTTTGTTACAGCACCCTCGCCTCTGTGACTTCCCATCAGAAGAGTTCTACGATGGTAAACTTACCACAGGTCCATCTTGGACATGGAAGTGTGAGCCCCTGGCCGTGTGGCCGGTGCCGGAGGTTCCCCATGTCCTGTGCCATGTGGAGGGGGTGGAGGACAGCCTCAGTGTGTCCACAGAGGAGGGCAATGAACAGTCCAAGTCCAACAAGGCAGAGGTGGACAAAGTGGTCAGTACAATAATTTCATAGACAAAACTAACGACAAAAAAGTGGTCAGTGCTCTGACTTAATAATTACATAATTACTTTTTACTTACTATTTAGATAATGTACACTTGAGCCAAAGAAAGTGGTCTGTGAATTACTTACTATTTATATACATGTAAACTTAAGACAAAGAAAATGTTCAGTGCATTACTTACTATTTATAATCTTAAGACAAAGAAAGTGGTCTGTGAATTACTTACTATTTAAATAATGTAAACTTAAGACAAAGAAAGTGTTCAGTACATTACTTACTGTTTATATACTTAAAACAAAGAAAGTGGTCAGTGCATTACTTTCTATTTATATACATGTAAACTTAAGACAAAGAAAATGTTCAGTGCATTACTTACTATTCATAAACTTAAGACAAAGAAAGTGGTCAGTGCATTACTTACTATTCATAAACTTAAGACAAAGAAAGTGGTCAGTGCTCTGACCTAATAATCACATATATGTGTAAACTAAGAACGTAGGAAGTGGTCTGTGAATTACTTACTATTTACTTAACCCTTTGCCTTGGTTGTTCAGGTTGAGGTGTTCAGCTGGCTGGTTCAGAAGGGTGGAATCTCCCCTCGCTACATCAACATCATGTCGCAGTACAACGCCCAGTGTACCAAGATACGCGAGGCTCTGTCCAAGTACCACCATCAGAGTCTCAACGTCAACACTGTTGTGGCCAGCCAAGGTAAATACTGGGGCTGGGGCTAGTCAAAATTTACTACCCGTGTGTACCCTACCCCCTAGTACCTGACCCTACCTGTGTACCCTACCCCCTAGTACCTGAATCTACCTGTGTACCCTTCCCCCTAGTATCTGACCCTACCCGTGTACCCTACCCCTAGTACCTGACCCTACCCATGTACCCTACCCTCTAGTACCTGACCCTACCCAGGTACCCGCTGTAGGTCTCAAGAGTTGGGTTCAAAGTGTATGCTTGGGTATTGTTTTCAGATATGTATTCAGATACATGTATAAACGATCTGGTTATGCATACAGTGAAGTTGACTAAAGCTTTATCTATATTCAAATAATGTGTACATCATCAGAAAGAGTCTCATAAGTGACTTGTAATGTAACTATGGAGTGCTGGGTAACTTTTGTCATTAAATACTATATCACATGACTAACCATGGGTCTGGGTAGTACTGTTGGTACTACTCAGGACGCACCTGAGCCGAGTACCCGAGCTACCCGTCCCAGCCCTAGTAAATTTCCAAAATCATAAGATTTTAATAGGAATCATTGCATGATTCTGACAATATCATAAGCATGCGTTTCTGAATCACTATCAAATGAATCCATCAATGGCCATTCCAGTTGCAATATTTAGTTAAATGAAAGAAGGCCACCTCTGTTGTCCAGTGGATAGAGTGGCAAAACATATGGTGCCCTGTTGTTACCCTGCCTGATACATGCAAGAACTGGTCGGCTCGGAGTCGGTATTCTGTGTCTGAGTGGGGTATCCATGTTGAACTGTGGCATGGTACCTAACACACAAACACACACGCACAGTGATGGTGTTGACAAGGTCAAGGTTACTGCTATCAGAAACATAAACATTATTCTGAACTGAAGTCATATGACAAGGAATTAGCTTTGGGTCTATCTTTTCGGATGTTCTAACTGGCTTAGTGATAAGATGGGCCTACAAATACCAGATCACAGATATATGTTGTTTTTAGAGAAAGGGAGGTTTCAGGACTCCATGGACGGACACCCCCCCACACACACAAGCCAGTACCATGACTTGGTTCATGGGTTTCAGTGAAGTGTTAATATCTACGACCAGCGTCATTTGGGGACTTCCTCATCCCTTACTGTTTGAAACAGCATTAAGCCCAACTCACCCATTCCATATTTGTTACACAGGAGGTGAGTGGGACTACGTGATCTTCAGCACGGTACGCTCTCTGCCCCATTACAAGATAGAGAAGAACCCCACACTGGGCTGGAGCAAACACAACCTCGGCTTCATCACTGATGCCAACCAGGTTAACGTGGCGCTCACCAGATCTCGTAGAGGACTCATCATCATTGGTAAGGATGAAATCTCAAACTTGAAGGAATGTTATGACATAATGAACTCAATGTCAATGAATGAATCACATACTTTGAGACAAGCATATTGCCTATATCTTACACAATGGATATGGTTGTAGTTGTAATAGTAAATGTAATTGCTGGTGTAGTAGTAGTTGTAGTAGATGTAGTAGATGCACAAGGTGATGTAAAGAAAATGATGGGATTTCTTCATTTACAGGTAATGAGAACTTGCTGCGAAGTGACAAAATCTTCAAGAGACTGATCGAGAAGTATGAGAAACAGGGATGTTTGGTAGATGGCAGCGACTTTCCGCGGAGATACCGGCGAGATCATCAAAAACGACGACCTCCGATTCCAGGATTGGAGTGGAAAACAGCTTAAGTGCTGCACTTGTTGAAAGAACTGAACATTCAAACAGTCCTGTTGGGATGAAAAAGAATTCATTTCATGGCTGTGTTGTGAATCAGCTATCAATGACTGCGAATTTTCGTCTTAGTGTATTCAACATTTTAGTGCTATTTGTTTTATTTCTATTACCGTTACAAACATCTGCATGCACTGTTATTGTGTTTTAAATATCTAGTGAATGTCATTGATTTGAATATCATCTGACAATTTTGGGTCCAAAATGCAATTTGTAAAATATATATTTTACTTATTTTAATTTGTATTATTGTTGTGTAAATATGTATATTTGTGAGTAAACTTTGATGTATTGTAGAAGCCTGCCCCATTTGCCTATTTAGAGAACATGGTAGACACATGTATGTCAGGTATCTTGGCAACCAGAATAGAACACAAACACACACACGCACAGACACACACACACACACACACAGATGGGTCAATAATCTACTGGCACATTATCAGACTTGTCCTAAATATTCCCTTATATTCTGTAGTATTCCGAAGAATGTTTCAAAGGCATGACTGATCATTTAGACTGAAATATTTAAGTCAGGATCATTGATTGAGTTTTTTTTGTTAGACATGTTGAATCTTCATATGCATTTGGGGCCAATATTTGTTGTAAAATACTTCTTTATATAAATATACACATGTATGTATTCCAACTTTTTGTAAACACCATAACACCATAAAGCCTTTGTAATGAAAATGGATGTCACACCTTTTATTATTTGGTTGACATGATGATGTAACTGTACATAATTTTGACATATGTTTCTTATTGTACTGGATCTTGCCATCTGTGTTCTCAGTGGGTACTTGTTACGACTCTTGCCATCCTTGTAATTAGGGGTGTCACGATACAGGTACCCCATGATACGATACGTATCTTGACTTTAAGGTCAAGATACGATACGTATCTCAATACAGCAATACCGTCTTTATATGCGTATATTTAGAAGCAACCTTTTTAATTACATATCACATTCACAATTATGTGTTCTAACCACTATCAGTAGATTATTTTGTAAAATAATAATACTTAGAAAAGGTTGATTCTGTTTATTCAAACAAGTGTCAGAAACTAACAAGTTTTTGTATGTGTCAAATTCAGAAAATATGATGATATTTTGATTCGAATAGAAAAATCAAACGATATGCGAACAAATGGATATCGATTTCAATAAAATTTTGTATCAATATATATTTACATGTATCGTGAGAATTATCTACCAATGCATTGGTACAATCGGTGAATCGTGACAACACTCCTTGTAATCTCCCTTGAGGAATGGTCAGCCCCTCAAGCAAGGAACACATTTTATAGTTTTCATACACTGCTATGAACAATCTTGCTCAAAGATATGTATATTCCTCCAGAGCCTTTCTATAGTTTTGTACCGAACTTATATTCACTATATCTTTGTAGCATCTCACTCAAAATGTAAATATATACACTGTACCAAGTGATCATCTCAATCATGACGTAAAGACATTTTGTACCGAATGAGCATCCCTAGGGGTGGTGGGGTAGCCTTGTGGTTGACTTGACATATCAAACGTGTAGGTTCTATTCCCACAAAGGTGGTTAAAGACCTGGTTTCGATTCCCCACATGGGTACAATGTATGAAGCCCATTTCTTGTGTCCCCCGCCGTGATATTGCTGGAATATTGCAAAAAGCTGCGTAAAACCATACTCACTCACTCACTCACTCTTGCCACAAATATATAGAGTGTGAAGCATTCAGTGTGTCCATCACCATGTATGATAATGCTTTCACTGCAAGACAAAACTCATTCTTTGTTCTAATCCATGACAAAATGATGAAAAAAAATGTCCCTTTTTGTAAAATATCCAATGACAAAAGTCTTGTTGCAGTACAGATACCATTCTTTCCTCCTGGCATCCCAATAAAAAGAATGACAAAAAAAACAATTTTGTTTGTAGGCATTGCATTATGTTTCCAGTGTGTTATCAAGATGGGGGTTTCAATATGGTTAATTGCTGTGTTGCACTAGATGAGCTTGAAGATAGCAAATGTTTGTGTGACCAGATTCTAAACTACCACAACTAATTTGGAGCAAGAAACATGTCAGTGAAGCATATGTATGCCATTGTGTGTGTGATGTAAATGTCTTATAAGATCAACAGCTGTAGTTTAAAAAGTGCTGGTCTTGATATGAAGTTTTATGATTATGTTGGTTTTTTTACTATAATATCAATAGGCCATAACTATGATATCGTTCTTTATTGCATGTGACCCTTATGTAGTCCAATCTGGTAAAAATTCTTTAACATGTGTCATACATATTTAATAATATTGATACATGCAGCTGATGCACTTACATCTGTTGTGGAGGCGGTAAGGTAGGATGATGGGTCAAGCAATGCTCATATGTCCTGGGTCTGAGTTTGATTCCCATGGGTTTGAAGCTGATTCTTGGTGTCCCGTGCTGGAATTTGATTCGAATTTTGCTAAAAGCAACATAAAATAATCATTATTTCTGTAGTGCCATGTTTGTTTGTATTCTTCGGATGTGCCAATAATGTTTGTGTGCTTTGTCAACTTGCATGTCTTTCACAGTGTATTATATTAGATGTGTCTCACTGAGTTTATCATGTGCAACATGTATATGTATATATTTTCATTTATATTTTACCTATGTTGATGTTGGACCCTGAACTCTGTCCCTAAACTCAGAATCTTATGACGACATTACTTACTTTGTTAAACAAGGATTGTACGAAAACACGTGTTCTGTTCTTTTGAACGACTATTAAATTGTCAAAATGAGTTCCTATTAGTATGTAGAATCTTACTTCCATATCTTCATTGGGAGTATGGGAAATGTTTCAGTAGAAATTTATTTTATTGTTATTTGTTGTGTCGAGTATCAATATTCCTTCAATTGTGTTTAATGTGTTGACATTGAAAATTGACTCAAATCTTCATTAATGTCTGAAGAATCTTTGTATTGGGGATATTACATCAAACGACTTGCCTGTCTCTACTCAAAATATCTAAAATCTAATATATCTAAAATATTATAAGGATGGATGCATGTGGGTTTCTTATTTGAGATATTGTTCACTTACTATTATTAGTATTATTAACTGAATCTTTTCACTAGTTACAGTTTTACCCTCAACATATTCACTCATTGGGTTTTTTATCATTGTGATGTTGTTTAGGAACATACACTTACTTATTATTAGTATTAAACTTATTAACCAATTTGCCATCTTTTCACTATTACATTTTAACCTTCGTCACACTCAAGTTATGCAACCATATCATAATGTAATATGACAAAAACTGTGATTTTTCCATTCTCCATTTTGTTAATCCTATCACTACTGAAAGGTCTGGTTGAATCTTGTTCCTACATTAGGTAGTGTTAAATGTCTGAGGCCTGCATCACATCAGGCTTCCCTCCCACATCAAGCTGACCTGCTGTGATATAACTGGAATACTGTTCAAAGTAGCGTCAGCCCAAACTCACTCACTCTGTATCAAGCTCAGCTCCATAAAAACTTGATGGTTGTTGTGTTGAAAATGACTGCCTTAGATTCTATGTTTATTTCTTAAAAAGGAGAAGGAATTATTCGCTAATCGTATTTCTTGTTTTATCCTGTTTCAGAATTTGCCAAAAAAAATTAATTTGATGCAAAATATTTATTCGTACTTAAATCGGTCCCTCAGTTGTCATTACATGTATATCAAATCTGAATTCCTTCCATCATCAACCATGTCTGACAGGGATGTTTCATGAAAATGCATCATAGACATTGTAAATTTAAATATCTAATTGGACCAAAAATCATTTGACATTTCAAATTATATTTCTCCAACAATAAAACATTTTCCATGTCACCCATGTGATAATGGACACGAACAATCAGAGAAGGGCTGAAGTGTTGTGAATCTTTTGTCCAGATTAGATACAGTTCATCATCCAATACATTCCATTATACACATCATGTATATCCCCTGTCATCGTCCACCGATATTGACAGCATTGTCCACGTTTGAACCCGTCCATTTATATTTTGTACAAAAGACTCATGTAGTATTGCATACATGCACATCTTCTCTGGGGATATACCGCATCATCCTCTTATATGATTAATAATTATTGTTATATGTAGATAAGGTAACAGGTTTACTTCAACTTACAAATATTTTTATTTTTTTTATTTTTTTATTACTCTTTTGTTAGAGCTACATAATTATCTCTGTGAAAACAATTATGCCAATTAGCAGTTAGCAAGGCTGTGTGTGGTCACATGTAGGTGACATGACAGCTGTTATATGAGGTAAGAATTCATCCTTGCACCTTCATATATACTCACTGGTAATAAACATTTATGTATCACTACAATCGTTGACAGTAACTTTAAGACGCAAACATCTTTTACTCTACTTTTGTTTGGAGGAACTCTACTCTTTCCACTCTTTGGTTAACAAATTTGTTATTGAATTGTTTGTGTATGTAAACAAAATTTTTTCCGTTTATTTTAGAGATTTTTCCTTTATTTAGCACCTTGATGTGAATCATCTTTGCTGTAATATCAAGTAAAGAAACAACCTTTTGTGCCATGCTTAGACTACTCTGTTGGCAATGCTTTCACAGAAAAGTATTCGGTAAATCAACAGTTAATTTTCTTTTATGACTTTAAAACATTGACCTTTGAGATCTTATTATTTAATGAGAAGTAAATATGTGCCATAATTATTCTTATATGTGTTTATATATGTTTGTCAGTTTCCATAAAGGGAAATAAAGTTTTTTCATCTTCATGTTGTTTCATTTCAAAACTTGGTCCAGCTATACCTCAATAACTGTGTTGTGGGTACATGTGTTTGGTTTAATGCGACCTTGAACAGTATTTCAGTTAAATCGTGAGGCAGATCTGAGACGTTTGTTGAAACCCTGTAACCATGTAACTCATAGTGGGTAGACTAGACTTTAGTGGGTTAAGGCGTTGGCTCGTCACGCCCAAGTTTCAATTCACCACATGGATGCAATGTGTAAAGTTCATTTTCCGGTGTCCCCAGTCGTGATATTGCTGGAAAACCACACTCACTCACTCAGTGAGTAGGGGTAGGATGAGGGCGTCTTTCATCCTGCTGGAAATGTCAACGTTTAAAGTTGCAAAACACTGAAATGTTCAGACGAAAATAATCAGAAATGTTCAATGACAAGCAGCTTTTGTTCTTTCTTGCAATTGCCAGTTTTGGGACATTTACATAAGTGTATCTGAAATGAATGAAACTGTCAAGTGTGAGCAAGTCTGTATCCAATGATTGCTTACATGTTTTTACTGTTCTCATGTGCATGTTCTTTTGTTGATTTGTTGTTGTCTGGTCCAGACACGATTATTTACAGACCGCCGTCATATAGCAGGAATATTGCTGAGTGCGGTGTTAATCAACAAACAAACAAACCAAAGATAGAAGCATGAACCAAATCTGAAATCCTGGGATCCGAACCTTCTGCAGACTGGACCCCTGCATGACTGGCGCACCCTACATTCCAAATACACTGCAAGCTGTCGTGTATTATCTGACTGTTAGAAACTGGTCGTGTTGTGAAAGGTGTTGTGTTGACAAAAGAATGATAAATAGATTTGTCATTCAACTCTCAGTCAATTATGGTGGTTCACGGAATAGCTTCAGCTGCTAGTACCAGGACATCTAAAATATCACGCTAATTGTATAATCAATATGTTTACCCCTAACGTCATGGCTGTTTACAAACACATGTCATGGAGAGGTGGCTGACAATGTGAACCCTTAGATGAGAGCTGGGGCTTTTGTTAAAGGGAAACTCCACGGTATGTTCATACTGGCTTAGACATCAATTAGTACCTTGTATGAGACGATGATATTTTGTCTGTGTAACGAGGATAATCAGTTATTGATAGATTAGTTTTGTTTACATAGTATATTTTGGAATTTGGGTAGAGAACAAGCAATGAAAGTGCATCTTTAAAAATATCAACTATAACCGTAGGTGTTCATACAGCAATTGTGACGACGTAGCAGTCATGTTGAATAGTGAGCAGTTGGTATAACAGTATGTGAGTGAATGAGTATGGTTCTACGCCGGTTTTATCAATATTCAAGCAATATTACCGCGAGGTACACCAGATAGGCTTCACACATTGTACCCATGTAGGGAATGGAACCCGGGTCTTCGGCCTGACGAGCGAACGCTTTAACCACTAGGCTACCCGACCGCCCCTATAACAGCGTGTTAGCATATTGATATTTATGATCTAGTATCGATTTGATCGACAGAAATAGAAAGATAATAAACGCCTGTGTTCAGTTCAAGGTGTCTATAGCTACACGTGCACGTACCACACATTCCCAACAATATGCAGTCATGCTCCTAAATAACTAGTGGGATATTGTGCGTACAAACCTTTATCATATAATGGGTAGGTTTCTCGGCAGGATAAAGCCAACGGATAAAAACGATACCCGTTGGGGTCATATGTGGATAGAGATGCAAATATGAAAAGTTCAAGTAGGGACTACTTTCACTGTTTATAAACAAACATGGCGTCGCCCTTGTCATTCGGCGATCGAGTCAGAATTAACCATCGTGAATCTGGATAAACTACAGGGATAATTGCTATCATTATCAAGAGAACGGTCTAATATACTGAAAATCCGTGTCTAACTGTGACGTAGATAAGGCATTTCATAAGTTTTGGCAAGTTTGGAGATATAAATTTCGAAACAATTTTGCGAGGGCGCTAGGCCTAGCCAAGCGGGATCAGTAGCCATATATGTGCTTGTAGACCTCTGCGGCTTGAAACCTTCTCCACAAATTAAAATAGTTGGATTTGGCCGAAATATATTTGAATTGTTACCTTGTTTCGTTTTGTCGCTGTGTGTACATCTGATTGCACTTCTTAACGTTATGACAGGACAGACCGACTGTCAACAACGTCTGACTCTGTCCGTGACGTCTCATAGACTAGGGTTAGAGTAGCTTCCCTTTGACAAAGGGCATTTACTCTAGAGGACAGACCGATGGATTGCCGCGAAAGGCAATAAAAAGCAATTGTTGTTTTGCGTATAGTTACTTCGCCAGTGGATAAGAAACAGATTTCAGTTGGAACTATATTGGCTACTGTCACTGTCCGACTGACATATCAGTTAACCTATGACGTAATAAATATTAATGCGCGCATTCCAGGAAAACGCATTGTTTCGGTAATGTTTGTGGGAGAGGGAAAGCGATTTTGAAGCACAGAGTTAAAGAATGACATTAGATGATAAAGAGGTTATCACGCTTGTGTGTTTGGGGATGGTAAATATCCTGCATTAGGAATAAACGTCCCTAATCCAGGATATTTACCATCCCCAAACACACTCGCGTGATAACCTCTATATGTGCACGCACCACACATTCCCTACAATATGCAGTCACGCTCCGAAATAACTAGTGAGATATTTTGCATACAAACCTATAAAATTGCATGACTATTTCAAGAAATAATCTATTAAGGCCTACACAATACGTGATGGGACGTAAACTGGCACTGGGGTCGCTAGCTTCTGATTAAAATCAAGTTGAGTCTGGAAATTGGGCAAGTGTCTTTCCGACCTCATCCAAGCGAAGGACTCTGTAGGGTTGCTGACCTTCTCAACACACTACGCATAAACTCGATGCAGTGGTCGTTCAGATTTCCTCTCCTTGAAAAACTGAGTCTGGGTCTGGCGCTTCAGTGGTTTGGTTGACACTCATTTCTGTACCTTCCAGCAGTACAGAACCATCAACAAAATTAACATTGAGATTGAGATTATGTCCCACATCCGTTGCTCGTTTAAGAAAACTGTGGAATGCCTTGTTTTCATCATGAGTCTTGACATGCTTTACAAGAGGATCATCAGACAAATAAATGCATGCAAAAGTGTACATTACAATTCTATCACGAAGAGCCCCCACGCCCTCCCATTACGATTAGTAAAGAAAAGCGATTGAGGGAAGAACGAGGGTGGTGGGATCTATTGTCTGACATGATTCTTCGTGTGAGGGTGTCAGTACCCTGAATGCTTGTTTAGTTCAATCAACAGCACTAAAGGAATACGAAAGGATGGGTAAAGCAAACGTATTTGTGGCTTTGACTTTTCCTTGGTTCATTAAGGTTTATTTGGTATAAAATTTTGTTTATTACCCTTTTGTGGTTCATTGTCTTTGGAACTGTGTGGAGTTCCTCCAATGTTCGAGCAGCAGCATACACGCAACAGTTAATGTCATGCAAAGAACAGTCCGCATTGATAGTGACAGAAATAATGTCATTTAATTCATCAAGTTGATTCTGTGGAGTGAGTGAGTTCGGTTTTACGTCGCTTTTAACAGTATTCCAGTTATATCACGACATGTCAGCTTAATGTGGGAGGAAAGCCTGAAGTGATGCAGGCCTCAGACGTTTACCAATTTGGTGACACCCAGGAGCAAGGGTAAGGTGCTGACAAACCTAGAAAAATTATCGGGGCGAAACGGGATTCGAACCCACAATCATAGGTTTCTGGGGTGCCCAAGGGATGCAACTCTGCACAGCGAATCGCGGAGCCTTAGACGACTGGGTCTCCGTTTCTCAACCGGTAAATCACAGATTTGATAATAGAATGACATAAACAAAATATAGAAGGTATCATCAGACAGATCACTGCCAGAAGAGAGGTCAGAATCGGGAGAAACTCAAAATCTTCCAGGCCACCATCATGAATTTCATTTTGTGAGCCTATGTGTCAGTGACAACAGCATCAGGCAATTGAGGGAGAATAATGCAACGTTCATCTGCAATTTCGGGGCTGCTACTGTTGGAACTGATGGTTCATGCAAAGGCGCCCTGTTAGAAATGCATACATTGGCATGGCTGTGTCTCAATGCTGCTTGAACAATTTGCCGTTTACACGTGCATTTCTGGCCACCCTGTTGCTTTCGCACACTCAAGAAGTATGGACTTCAGTTGTTGCGTCTATGATATTCTTGGGCAGGTTCTGTGCCCATACCGCACCTCCTCCCCCCTCTCCCTGGGGCAAGTCCCATCTCTAGTTTGGTTGGTTTGTATACCGGAGGGAGGCTGACTGGGCTGAGTTGAAAGATGATTTTTTTCTTGGCTTTCTGTAACCCAGTTTTTGAACCAGTTTCGTGGTTCAGCCCAAACATGGCGATGTGCATTTAGTTCAGGGGAATACATCCTCCCCATCTAGGCCCTCCCCAGAGGCGTACATCATCATTATGGCAGGAATCAGTTAAGCAAGAAAGAGCTGATTCAAAGTCACCCTCTCACATTCATTTACAAAAGGCTCGCGTTCCTACTGTCGTTTCAACAAGACAACAATATCGACTTTTCACCTGATCGCCTTGAATTATTTGAAAGACCAATCACGAGATAAATAAGTGATACAGATATAGTCATGGCTAAAAATAGCTCTTATGCGACAACGTAGGCGCTTTGTTAAAGTCAACCAGGACTTCCTTTTACAAACAGGATCACTTTTAGAATGGCTGTCGCTTCATTAAGGTACTCTTTGATTTACAAACAAGTATTAATTGTACATGCCGGTATTAAGGTACAGTTATATGTGATACAATCAGTATTTTTATCTGTATGTGCGGACTGGTTGCCAAGACAGTAACATCACTACACCTTCACCATTGTCCCATATGCAAGCGTAATAGATGGATACAACCAGGAATGACTTTTGACAAATTACAATAAAAGTCCCTTGAACGATTCCGACTGTATCATAATCTTGCGTTTATGAGTC